TCCTCTCACATATTCTCACTCCTCTCTCCAGCTGCAGTTGCTCAAGTTTGGGGTTTTTTTTCCCCCTTCTTAAATATGTCATCCCAGAGGCACTGCCACCATTGCTGATGGGCTGGGCCTTGGCCAGCAGCGGGTCCATCTTGGAGCCGCTGGCATGGGCTCTGTCGGACATGGGGGAAGCTTCCAGCAGCTTCTCACAGAAGCTGCCCCATAGTCCCCCAGCTACCAAAATCTCGCCACGCAAACGCAATACATAAGTGTTCTGTAAAAACTAAGTGCTACTTGAGTCTTGTGTAAGACCATAGGTTCCTCATCTGTAAATGAACAGTGACTTCCTTGTGAAGTACTTTGAGGGTCTCAGGTAAAAGCACAGTATCAGACTTAAGTATACACTCGTGACGAAGTAACCTTCCTTAGATGTAAATATGAAGTTACTGTATCTGAACTGTGGGGTTCTTTCATGCATTTTATTTTTTCCAGCTGTGTCCCTTGCATGTAGCTGACTTTAACATTACTAGTTGAGTATCACTGATGCCGTATCTGAAAAAGATAAGCTTTAAGCATGTACCCATGTGCATATTTTTTTATTAATGTTTGATTCACAGCTGCAGCAAGAGTCAAAATCAGTTACGCAAGAAGATAAGAAAAAGAAAGAAATTTCTAGTACAAAACCCGAGTCTGCTATTGAGTCAAGATCATTTAACAGAACAGAATCTTCTCCAGTAGAGTCTTGGAGTAATACAGATCCAGTGCCTTCATCAGGTGAATTAAAAACTTCAAGTGTAATCTCAGGGCAGCTTGCAAATCTGAGGCAAATTCTGAATTACTTGACTTAATTTTGTAGTTACCCTTGCTTTAAAATGGGGCACGCTGTCATAGCATATTATTCTTGAGAATATATGGTACACGCTGTCATTTAATACATACTTCAGAGCCTCAGGGAGGTGATAATTTTCTCACTGTGGACCCTGTCACAGTATCAGAATTCTTACACATTTGTTTTTCTCTCTCAGTAATGTTTTCTTTCATTCCCTGTGGTGCGGACCATATCCCGTATTGTTAGCGATGAGATGTATCATCAAGCACTTCTCTTAAATACCTACTCGAAATTATCCTTCTGTTGTCAGAACATATACCATAAATTATACCATAAGTATAATTTAAAGGATTACTGCTGTTTTTTTGTGAAAATGGCTAATTTGAGTTACTGTTCATTTCTCTGTCGGTTTCTGTGTCTTCAGATATTGGTAAAAGAGGAATGTGTAACTGACAGATGAAGCACTGGATTTTGTTTTGCTAGTTTTTTTGCAGTGATGTTCTTTGTGCATCTTAAGTGGTTGAGAGAATTGACTAGATCATGTAACAGCATATTTAACCTACAAATATATTAATAGGCCAATTGCTAAGAGCGGTAGTGGAATTACCTATTAAAAGAGAACTAAATTTGTCTTAAAATATTGTTACACTTTGTAGGGGCAATTTCCAAATTTTACTTGTCACTTAAACTTGCTTACTTCTTTCTACTGTGTTCTTTACCAGAACTTTTTTTTCTGGAAAGCAAGCAGAGCATATTTGGATGGGGGGTTTTAATTTTTTTTTCCCATTATTTTCACTAGAATATAAATTCACCTCTTTCTTTGCTTTGCACCTGTATTTTTCCTGATTTAGTTTGTGGAATGCTTTGATCTGGTTGTACATTCGCTTCAGGCCAGACTGTCTTTAATGGTTTTATGTACATAGCTATCTTCTGTCTTTGCTTTCATGGGTGGAATTAGTTCATGTCCCTAACACAGCCAAAAATGTCCCTGTCCTAAATTAATCTGTGTTGTCAGAGATGTTTATTTTCACTAGTCCAAACAGGGCAAAGCTTTCAGGAGAACATAGCACCATTTATTAAACCAGCTGAGGTAGCGGGAAGAGAAGCAAACGAGTAGTAGGAGGCACAGTCCTAGAAAACCTGCCTTTACATTTGCTTAGGTCCTCTGGAATTACAGTATCATTAAATATGTCAGTCTTTGTGCCTTGTCATTCAGGATGAGTGTGAGGGCTCAATGTTTTAGTAAACTTAGTTCACTGGTTTTGGAAGTCATGAAGTGAAACTAGGTGAGAGTGTTTGTCTTAATTTGGGATTCTTACCATCTGGTGGCAGCTTCAGGGGAGATGCTGATTCAGTTGGGTTTGGGAGACAGCTGCGCTCCTGGGAGCAGTGGCAGAAGAAAGACTGGAGACCTTTTTCCCATGTCCCAAACTTTCCCTTCCTTTCCATGTGTAAGGCCAAAGCATCACTGTTTCTTCTCTCACCCTGCTGTGTTCAGGAAGTAGTATTAAAGTTTAGAGAGTAGGAGGAAGACCTGCTCTCCATCCACTGCTGTGTGCTAATAATTACAACATGCCTTCAGCGTCCTGTATCACTTACACAGTTTTAACTAGAATATACATATTTTGATCATTTGTAAGTGTTTGGTAATACAGTAATTCTGAAAATGTGTCAATAAGCTTTTTTTTTTTTTTTCTCCTACAGCTCAAATATGTATGTGGTTTTTTTAATTAAATTTCTTTAATATCTCTAACAGGAGCAGTGAAGACACCAAAATTTAAGCCTGATCCAAAACTTATGGACCATGGTCAGTCCAGCCCAGAAGATGTGGATATGTACAGTACTAGAAGCTAAGACAAATCTGCTTACAAATCTTTGCAAAGTATTACAGAGGAGGGGGAGGGAAGAAGGGAAGGAATAATCCTTACAATACATACTCTGAGGTATAATTTAATCAGGTATTTTCTTATATCCCAATTTGTATTGTTGACTTACATGATTCTGTTTAGTGAATATTTTGTTTCTCACTACTTAGAATCAGTGAGGATTCACTCATTGTTAGTGTCATTAGCGAGACACTGAGAAAATAAGATTTGTCAGTGTCTTCTCACAATGAGGTTTCTCTGTGCCAAGCTTGTTAATAAATGTCACTTCACAAAGGATATTTGAAAATGTAAATGTATCTATGCTTCAGCTCAGATGTTCATTGACCTAAAAGAAGAACGTGATGGATGGGGTTTGCAGAGGCTTCTTTGTCTTTTTTCTCTCAGCTCTGGAATGAAGGGCAACTTCTTATTGGTCTGACTCCCCTTAAGAAGCCGGTTGTTACATCACACAAATAGCATTACCTTTAATGCTTGTATAAACAAGTCACTTTTTTTTCATTGCAAAGTCTGTTGTTGTTGTTTGCCTCTTTCACAAAGGTGAAGGGAAACAATTTCTTGTCCCACATGCTTCTTGTGTATTTAAATGTCACTTAAGTTGGGAAAAAACACACAACTAATCTCTAAAACATCCTTTATAGACTATGCATTAGTTTTCACCTACTTCTGATACTTTGAAGAACTGTATGCAAATTGCTTAATCCATGAAACTGATAGTGTTTGAATTTATACAGAATGCATTAGCAATGTTTAAGAAGTTGGAAGCCTTCTGTAGTTTTGAGGTTTAAAGTGCTGACAAATATTAAAAACGCAGAAGTAATAGGCAGCCAACTTTTTCTTCCAGGAAGTTGGTATGCCATACTCATTGATCTTGGTAGGATTCCTGTGAAATTCTGTCTTTTTCCATGAGAATGAAATTAGAAATTTATTTAAGTTTCCTAGGATGAAACTTTCAAACAGTGCTTTTATCATTGGGTATATCACTCTTACTTTTGGTCATCCTCCATTCCTCTTCAAAACACTCTTACAAAGGTTGGAGTAGGTCTGGTGGTTTTCCTTGAGCAAAGTGCAACTCACTGTCAGTACACAATGATAATCAGCCCGCTGCCTAGAGGTGATCCATCAGTATCTAGTGCGGCACTTCCCTAATACACAAACTGCAAAAGGACGCTGTGCTGGTAGTTTGCCCTCCGATCTGTTGAATTCTGTTATCTTTCAATTAATAAAAATACGTGCTTTGTTTTAAAGTTGAGGGGCGAAGCAAGAACAAACAATACAAACAGATAGTTTGGTTGGAATAATTAAACCTGAAAAGAAATGCTGCCTCATATGAATGTATTCTCAGCACTGGGATATGAAGGGATATTTGCTCCTGTTCTCCATAAGAAGAGATGTCACAACCCAATTTCCTTCTTCTGAGCCTGCTAATGCAAAGGCAAATGACTAGTGAAGTACAGGCAAACAGTTTTCCTAGTGTCACTGTGGGACTAGTGGAAGTCTTGAGGAGATACTGCACAATGGAATGTGCACAAGGCACAAATGATGAATGAGCAAAAGAATTAAGTAAAGCTTTCATGATGGTTCAGAGACAGATAAGTATTGGTATTTTGGAATCCAAATTTCAGGCAAAATGTTGGGCTTTGTTATGCAGTGTCCAACAGAAGGTGAAGTCGGTAAATGTGAGGTTTAAAGAAGAAGAATTCTATTAGTTAAACTTGCTCGGGACAGCTGACTTAGAATTTAATGTGTTTTGTTTCTTTAACGATCTCTTAAGGCCCAGGAAACTGTCAGAATTCAGGCAGCAATCAGAGGACATTCAATCCATCTTCACAGAGCTCCTGGACAAGACACATTTAGTGTTCCATCACAGAGAGAGGAGTAGAAAAACTAGATGGCTGGGCTTCATATACCATTGCCAGGGAAACAGATGAAGACATAAGGCAGGAAGTAAAAATGGTGAAGAGATTATCATGTTCAAGTGCAAGACTGGATGGCAGAAATGGTATTATCTGTCTCCTTATCTGTCCCTTTGATCAGAGTTTTGGATAAAAAACAAAGGAAAAACCATCTGCTCTACTCCTAGATTCTACTTAAATTCTAACTTATGTCCTTTGAACGATACGCTACCACAAGAAGTCAACAAGGAAATTAAGATGATGCAGGTTTGCATGGAATTTGTAGGGATTTACCGTGATGACATTTTTCAGCACGCAGTGGGAAATTATGCGCAGGAATTAGTCTTCCGGGAGCAGGGAGGGAATAGCTTGGATAGCTGTTGAGGAGCAAGCATGTCTGCCCTTCCAGGCAAGAGTAGGTATTAAAAGGACTGCCCTCCACCTGCAGGGCCAAAAGCTAGTCTGGCCCTTTTCATACTTCAAGGGCGTTACCACTCAAATCTCCTGGTACAAATGAAAGTGTCTGCAAAAGTTGCACTGGGCTCCTTGGTGGTTAGGCAGTCAAGAATTGGTAAGCATTGGAACAGGCTGCCCAGAGAGGTAGTGGAGTCCCCATCCCTGGAGGCATTCAAAAAACAGACGTGGCGCTTTGGGACATGGTTTAGTGGGCGTGGGGGTGCTGGGGTGATGGTTGGACTGATGATCCTAGAGGGCCTTTCCAGCCTTAATGATTCTATTCCAACAAAATGTTTCATGCAAGCTATTTGTATTACAACCCCTGATTTTACAAGAAGTTTGTGCTGTAAATGGCCATGATACACAAAGGTGTCCCTAGGCTGTATTTTAGTCTCAAATTACTGCTTAGGGCAAAATTGTGAAAGAACTATGCCTCAGAGTTAAACTGTCATTCAGAAGTCTTAGATACATTTTCGGGGACATAACTTAAAATTACTGCTCCTACCCACTTTGGTGAATGAACAGTATGAGGAATACAGTTCTAGAGCTCATAAAATGGTATCTTTGCGCTGTGTCATTTCTTCTTGGTGGATGAGAGGAGTGAGCCAGCACAGGTTTATTCCAGTACAGGGTTTGTCTACTACTGTCACTTTCTAGTTTAGTTTTTTGGTCAACTGATACTTCTCTGTCTCATTCTTCTCTGCAAGAGAGGGTAATTTTTTCTTGTTTGTTTTCTATCAACAGTTTTTGTTTAATATCCCAACACAGTTGAAAAGCTGGGACTAAAATTAGAGGCTTGGGTTTCAGCACTGAAACAAATATAGCTACAAGATGACTGTTTCACTATCTGCAACCAAAGAAAATGGGACAGAAAAAGTATGAAAAGCTTTGTACGCTGTCTGGGTGTATTCTCTGCTTTCAGAAAGACCATAATCAATCTCTCAGTTGGTATTTCTCTGTCCTGGAGAATAGATTTATTAGTAGTGGGAAGGAATTTTTTAGTAAAACCTGGAATATGATACAGTATAATAGTACTTTGATAATATACATTTCTATTAGCGTCAGTCATCGTCTTGTCCACCCATGTGAGACACATGATGAGAGAAATTTCTAGAGGTACCAAAAAGATGCAGGTTATTATCAAGAAGTTTGGAATGTATTTGCTAAAATGAAGGCAGCCTAAATCAGATTACTAATACGCTGTTGTATAAATATTGGAATGGTGACTGTGAATCTTTATTACTGAGCTGCCATTTTGTGAAGTGTTTCTTTCTCAAATCTGAAAAGGTGCCCGCCGTCTTCAGTTCAGACATGTGAAGCTCTGCATTTTACATAATACTCTACAGGTGGCTTGTTCCAGATAGCTACAAGGAACTGTAGCCACGTCTCTCTATTAATAATTTATAGTAAAGTTGCTATGCAATGGCTTTAAAACAGCAAATCATATCTATATTACGCCATGCTTGTGAGTCCTCATTTTAAATATATGTGCCTTGATCTCTTTCAGCTTTCAGACCCGGTACGCAAACCTGTTAAACAATGAAAAATTAACAGAAGTACACAGGGAAAGTTGCATTACAAGACATGGTTTTATTAATTTATAGTGAAACACTTTGAAATGCCTCTCAAATGTATCTTTAATAGCCACTTAAACTTAAAGCTTGACCTGAAAGTTCAATATAGTTTCTTTCATAATGCAGTAACATAATAAAAGTAAGAATGTATGCTGTAATTTTTATATAAGTTATATATTTTTGAAAAATCCAATGTCTTAAAGAACTGGGTCACATGATTTTTATAATACAGAAATAATTTTGATTTAATGCATTTTTAAATTTATGATTGATTGTATTTGTTATATAGAAATTTGGAACTTGTTGATTAATTTTTTATTTACATAAAACTGATTGTAATACTTTATTTTGTCATATCGTTGTGAAGCACCTGAAAATAAAGGGTGATAAGATACTTTTTTAAAATTAAGTTTAACTTTTGTATGTTGTCTCATCTGTAGGGCAAATTGTCAATTCCTTTTCTCTGAAGTACATTTTAAAAGTTAATTGGTAAAGATGACTAAGTCATACCTGTTTCACTAACGTTGGGGAAGAAACTTCATTCCTGAAGTACTGAAACATACATTCCTGGAAGAAATCACCGAAGTAACATGCAGGACATCTAAATGCTTGCTATTCAGTTGTTTATGCATCTTAAATTTTGAGCAATGCTTCAATTTTCTCTTCCTAGTAATTTCTTCTAAAGAATGCTGTAGCTCAGAACTTGGAAAAAAAAAAGAAAGCTTTTATCCATATTGGAGGAGTGACACATATTGTTAAAAGAATGAGGCAGATAGCAAATATATTTACCTCAGAATGGCTCCATGATAATCTTCCAGGTAAAGTAATCTGCCAATCCAAGAGTCATAAAAAACGTAATACGTGCTGTAACCTACAGTGTAACTACCTAAGAAAAATTGTGTGAATAAGTAGTGTGTGAATAAGTAAAGCTATTTTAATGGCAGATTATCGTTATGATTCTTGAATAACTTAGGATATATTGTAAGGTTTTTTAAATGCATCAGTATAGCTATCTTGTAGTGAAAGTTTGGAGTATTTCTGAATAACATTAAAATACAGAAAATGTATTTTAAATCTAAAAAGAAACTGGGGTCCTATGAAGCCTGTACTTTTTAAAAAGGAGCATTAGTACTCACTAGATTGTGTAGGGTCTTTTTAAATTCTAAGAAGCAAAGCTCAGGTATGTGCTGATAGTAAGCTAGAGTCAAGACAGACTGTAATTGAAACCATTCTAGAAGGTACCACATTATTGGTATTGCCACAGTATTGATGCGCTCTTCTTGTAGACCAGAGCAAGTGTAGAAACCAAACTGAAATGCTAAGGAAAAGGAATTCTAGAAGTTGGGAAATCTT